TGAGCGGTGCGGGAGGTGGGAGGCGCTGCCAGCACCGTCGCTTCGGTGAGGGGGGGAGCTGGGAAACGCCGCTTCCCTCCCTCGACTGGCGGAGGCGGCAGAAGCGCTCGCTGCTGGTGCCTCAAGTGCGCTTAAGCGTGGGGCGGTGCGTGCCCAAAACTGGTGTCAGCTAAATGCAACACTGTAATATAAATGGAAAGAATTGATTCTTTTTTTTTCATCAGGCTGTTGAAGTGCATATAGTTGAGATAGTATAAAATTGTCAGTGACTAAAAAAGTAGCACGGATACCTACCTGTCTGGTCATAAATTAGGTCATTGTTCAATTCAGTGTTCAATGACACAACACACAGGCAGGTAAGATCGTGGCAGTCTTCGGCCTCCTCACTGTCAAGTATCACTTGCCCTCAATTTCGTAAAATGCAGGTAATTTTTCAAGATGGTGCCCCAGGGGTAAGTTGTTTAGCCATTTAGCATGAGGGGGGATTCGGTGGTGCCTGGAGTAGTAGTTAGACCAGTGAATAACCCCTTGACTCCATGCTGAGGATATGGAAACAAAAAAAAGAGCTCTTGGACATGGCACAGGCTTAACTATTGAAGGTTGATACTTTGGAAACATTCGGTCGGAAGGAAGATACTTGGAAGAAGAGAAAACTTCTTCAAGAGTGAACTTAGGTGGAGAACTAAATAAACAGCAAATAAACACTGACTGCCGTAACTGCCTGAAAAGTATCTCTGAAGACATTCCTACCAAAGCTGTATACAAAGCCCACTTCAGCGTAATTCTGCACTGAGAAGGAGTGCGGGAGCTGGGGGTTTGCTCTATTCTAAGGTTGCTTTTAAAATTTTCTGGTTTTTAATCCAAGTACCTTCCTATGCATCTTCAACCCAAGTACTTAATGCTATTTCCTTATAGCTCTTCCTGTGGCATGCAGTACTGTCGTGTTAAAACACATCACATTTATTATGAAAAATTAAACTCTGTAGCTTAATGAGGTAAGGATTCCTCATCTTCCTTAGTAGCAACAGTAATGAATGAGAGGTCATAACTCGTTTGAAAGAGTCACGTCAGAAATGTTTAATTACGAACCCAGATCTGTTACCAATTTCTCTGTCTTAACCAGCATCACCTTGCCTTCCTATGAAAACAGCGTGTGATTCTGAAAAACGTTTCCTCGGGCCTTCTTCGGATCTCAGTTTGTAATCGTGTGTATACAACAGCTTACAGAGATAAGAACTAGCTGGTTATGTTAGGTCTCATCTATACAGTATGATGAAGCCCGAGTGCATCCTGCATAACAGATTTCTCAGTACATCGCTTGCTTCTTGCATTGCTGCGTTGGCTCGCCAGTGCTGTTAAGTGTGAAAAAAACAGGGAAGTGTAGTCACCCAGGTAAACAGACATGGCTCAGAGCACATAGTGAGGATGGACATGGAGAAAGAAAGAATCATTTTTACATACTCCTGCTGGAAAATAAAGCTGCAGCCTGAATTCACAGCTAACGTAACTCTGTTGGTAGCATTACACTAGAGGTTAATCTGTCTCCAGGAGTTTTGAGACAGGAACTCATGAAATATTAGTGAAATAAAGGAAAGCCTGACTCAGTAAACTCATAGTGTTTGAATTTAACACACTGTAAAAGGAGTGCGGCGCTGGCACACTGAGCATGATATAAACTATTGTCTTGCTATGGATTTTCACTCTAAATATCCCTAAAAATATCCTCAAAGAGCCAATAAATCATTCTTCCCACACTGCTGATGCGAGTTAGAGGAGTCAGCATTTAGGTAACATAATCCACTGAACACAGAGTAGTTCCATGCTACAGTGAAGCGCGAGGAAAATTGGCTTAAGGAGTTGTCATCCACACGCTGCACGCAACGGGTGCCGTGCCCTGCTAACTACTTGATTGCAATCTGCACTCAGTATACAAAAAAAAAAAAAAGAAAAAGAAAAAAAGAGTGAAGACAGAATTGTGTCCCTTAATCCCACATCTCGCGGCAGCTGTGCAAACTGGTCTCCTGCTTTGGTGAATTTACTTCCAAAACCACTGAAGGTGATTCTGGACCACCTCCACCTTTGAGGTTGCCCTCCAGCTCTGACTGACCTGTGTGTGGGCGAAGGCCCTGGGAAGGAGGAGCAGCAACATGCTTAGGGACATGGTTTAGTGGTGATATGGTAGTGTTAGGTTAATGGTTGGACTTGATGATCTTAAAAGGTCTTTCCCAACCTAAGTGATTCTATGGTTCTATGCTCTCTGGAGCACATGGGATCCATACATGCCCATACTGGCGTGGCATGGGGCATGCCTCATGGTGGGGTAGCTCAGGTCCAGCTCGCCATTAGTTACGCCTTCCCTCAGGCTTTTCAGAAAAGACCTTTGCAGAGAGGTTTGTGTCTGCAAGCAAAGGAAGCACTTTTCTGCCTTCCGCACTCAGCCAGATCTTCACCCAGTCAAGCATTCTAACTTCAGGTCAGGTCCATATTAGATGTAGAAGTACAACAGGAACATACCACAGATCATTCTGGAAAACACCTATACAAAACAGTTTTTGTCTTTGTTTCTAAGTTCTTAGTTAGACATGGTGGTTTATATATACTCTTTATACATTTCCTGTTAATAAAAATTACTAGCTGTAGATTTTATTCCTAGAATTAACAACTTGTAAGACTTTAAAATCCTTTCTCGTGATTGGCTTCAGAAATACCTTCTGGATAAAGCTTACACAAAACAAATAACTCCTGGAGTAAGAATTATTTGCTTCTATCACCGTATGTCCAAGTGCCCATATATTTTTTATGAAAAGCATTAAGAGGCAGCAGAAATGTTATGCTAAAATACATCTGCATGTTCACATACAGTTATGCATTCTTATTTTACCCTCCTCAGAGGCACTTGCATTATGGAGCAGGTTTTGCTGGCTTCTTTTTACTTTGCAGAATATTTTCTCTCTAGTGAATACTGTAACATTCCACAAAATATGCTGCTAAAAAAGAACCGTAAAATAAGTTTACGAAACAAAATTATCCATGATGTACTCTGTGTGGCACATGTTGTGTCAGATATGACCGAAAAACAGTCTTTTTGTGATTTTTTTTTTTAAGATTTCAATGCACTCTAAAACAGAACAGTTTTACGAGGAGGCTGAGCATTATAAAGGTAAAGAATGAATAGGAGGCTTCTCAAAAAATGGCATTAGTATTCCACCTAAATGAAACCATCTTCAATCTTAGATAAAACATCTCCAGTTTTAAGAATTGTCGACCAGCTGTGCTTGGTGAGAACTCCACAGTAAAGGCTGCACAAGACTTACATTTGTAGCTGGAGCTTGAAATCCTAGGTCTGTGACATGAGGTGGTTCTAAAGGAAGTAATGTGAGAAGGATAATACAGGGACTCCAGACATCAGGATTTTGATGAGAATTTAACTAGAATTTCCTAGCATGGCTCTGTTGGTATCAAATGCACTCTGCTGAAGATGTTTTAAATAATATTTATTTAAACTCACATTATATATCTGTTACTTTAGATTTAGTTATGGTGAAGACCAATAAACAAAGATAGTCTTTATCTGAAGCCTGATGAAATAAAGGATAATCTCTCCCTTGATACATCCCACCAGGCATTGCTTTCAGTCCTTACATACTCAAGGTCTTCCGTCTGAATCCCTAAGCAATTTAAATAGCTACCCCCCCCAATATATGTTACAGTAACATCAGAAGTGTGCATTTTGTAAGTGATGTGATAGAAAATAAAGTATTTGCACTAATTTCACTTCCCTAATTAAAAAAATGCTTACATAGGAAGTCATTTTTACTTAGCTGTTTTACAGGTTGGGCACAGATTACGTAGGCTAGGCACAGATTTAGCTAACGTGCATAGATG